AACCACTGTTTTGTGCTGCACACATAATTCAATAGGCTACTTAAAGGTGCTGTATGTAGGATTGACAGCGAGTGGTTGAACTAGGTATTGCAGTCAAAATTCTAAATATTGGAGAAAGGTTTTTTCACCCGGCCCCTCCTCCTCAGACTTGAGGCACACGCAGGTTGCCAGATTGACGACACCAACAGGAACGAGCGCACTTGACGATGAATGAAATTAAATAAGCTGTGTTTTCCGCCAACTGGCAACTCGGGGTGAAGAAATACAATTGGGTAAACTGGCAGTGGGCGGGTTTCACAATCCAAAACAGAGACCGACATTCCGGCCCGGAACACATATTTTCAAAGGAGAATAACTGACTGTAGCATTGTTTTTCAGACAAACAAGTATGTTAACTTAGCATGTTCCTTAAATATCTGCAAACATATTATGGTATTTTTATGCTTTAGTAGAGTCAAAAACTTACATACAGCACCTTTAAGTAATGAAAATCTCACAGAGTTTAAAAAAGATATGAACAGAATTGGCAAAAATGTATACAGCGTGATGTAGTTACATTACTTACTGAGCTGTGCTGAGACCACAGACAGAATAGTTTCATGTTATGAATGACCGTATCTTACTTGCAGGGATATTTCAGATAACTTAGTTGAGCGAGCAACCTCATCTCAGGATGGAGGACAACATGTCCAGTTGTCCATCATCAGCAATATGCATATGCAGACCTGTATGGCAAGCCGTTTTAGTTTAAAATAATCCCAGTGTTACTCATCGTAATTGCATTTTTACTAGTAACAATTCAATTAGAGAGCTCTACAATTAAATTCTTACTAGTAACAATGCCAGTTAGAGAGCTCTCTAATTCGGTTCTTACTAGTAACAATTATGATTAGAGAGCTTTACAAATGAATTTTTACTAGTCATATGTGTCTATTGACTTCCATACATTTTTAATTACAGAGCTCTACAATTGAAATTTTACTAGTAAAAAACAAATGAAAGATATGCTTAATTGCAGAGCTCTGTAATTGAATTAGAGAGCTCTCTAATTTAGTTCTTACAAGTAACAATTTAATTAGAGAGCTCTCTAATTGAATTAAAGAGCTCTCGAATTCAATTGTTACTAGTAACAATTGAATTTGAGAGCTCTCTAATTGTAATCCTTACTAGTAAGAATTTAATTATAGAGCTCTCTAATTAATTGTTACTAATAAGAATTGCGTTGTAGAGCTCTCTTTTCAGCACAACCTCATTATGATAATTGTGCCTCATGCATATTCATAAAACGGGTGACTGTCTGTCCCGATAGCCTTGTGGGCAGTCCGTCGATAACACTGTTGCGCTACGGGTATCCTGAGTTTGAGTCCCGCTCGTGATCCCGCACCCCCTCCCCCCAATTCACTTATACTGTCCTATCGGAATAAAGGCAAAAATGCCAAAAATAAATCTTAAAAAAAGAAAATGGGGACTCAAGCAGCTTGTTCAGTCAAGCAGCTTTTAATGATGAATAGCAGCGCTGACCGAGGCTCTAATGATCTATTAAGTATTATTATATATTGATTAAAATCATTATAAAATGATTACGCTTTACAGAGAAGAAATATAGGTAGTCTGTGTAGCTACTGTAAGTTATTTTTAAAGGTGAATTCACACTACATGCATATAAATGTATTCTCAGCAATATGCATATTTAATTATTGGTTGTAAAATATCTGTTTTGTTACGCTTTGCAAGGGCTTTATTCGCATTATCCACTCACACAATAATGCTGAGTCTGGGTCCTGTACTGTTAACAGAAGCATTTACTGCATGATGAAGCCTATTAGAATGCAGTTAGAATGCCACTATAGTTATGAGGGCAAAAATATCCCTGTATGAGTATTTGTTTTTTATATTTATAACATCTGATATATTTAAGTAATGTCACACAAGCAAGAGTGCCATTTTCCGAATATTAGCGCACAAGCATGATCGTGAATGTGATGTTATACAGTTCAACAACCAAGAAATTAATACATGTTACATTTTGGACACACTATTGTCTGTTTTTGTTTCACCAACACAAATAGTTCCAAAATAAGCCGGAAAAGAACTGTTGCGCGTCTACGAGAGACATGTTTCGTACTTGCATGAATCTGTGTTTTGAAATGAATCACTCAGTAAGACAGACTCGTGCTGCCACCTATTGGCCAAAACCAGCCACGGTTCCAGCACAAAAACACACTCAGCAAAATATCGCCTAATTAAGCTTATCGAAAAAATACCCCAAAATAATGTTGCAATTGAATTTTCCCCCCCTAATGTCTGACCAAAAAGAGAGAGAGAAAGAAAGAAAGAAAGAAAAAGAAAGAAATTTTAAAATACATTTTGTCAAGAGTGACAATTAACCTATTAATTAGCCTATATATGTACTAGCTCAAATTCTGCATGCATGCTACAGTGCATAATAAACACCAAAACGAGGTGATGTTTTGTCTGGTAAAGTATTTTCAAGATTATAGGCTACTCTTTATTTCATTTTTGTGATATGGACCTAAGGGTCTGAAATAAAGAAATAATAATATTAATAATAATATAAAGGTGTGAATTAATGAAGTGATTAAATATGAAAACAAAACCTTTCCAAACGGTCATCTCATTCTTATAGTCATTCTGACACAATGAAAATGCTATCAATTCATGCTTATGGGGCTTTTATTCTGAAGTGTATCACCACAGGCGGGATTTGGAAAGGCAAATGGGTGTTGCCGCAAATCGGTTTTTCATCTAATGAATACAAGTTTTTACTAGTAAGAATACAATTGTAGAGTTCTGTAACTAGATTTCTTACTAGTAAGAATTTAATTAGACAGCTCTGTAATTAAATTTTTATTAGTAAGAATTGAATTGTAGAGCTCTCTAATTTAATTCTTACTAGTAACAATGCAATTACGACGAGTAATGCTTGGAATATTTTAAGCTAAAACGGCTTGCCATAGACCTTCATATAGCTTAAGACTGTAAGTCTTAGGCTAAGTTTTGCTCTCTCCTTCATCCTGAAAATCAAACTCACCGATCAACCACATCTGAGCAATGAAAAATAAAGTCTAAATCTGCAGCATTGAAGAAACTCAACCTAAAACACTCAAACGATTTTTAAATGTTACTATGGTAACAGGCAAGTTCAGTATTCTCAACTGAGGTCGATAAAAACAATATTTGGCATTCTGGCACGCAGAGATGATTTGGCATTCATATTGAAATTCAGCCTGCTCGATCTCTGAAGAAGAAAAAAATTATATACACGGCAAAACAGAGTAAGAGATAGAAAACAGAACACAGAAAATGCAGCAACAGGATCTGACAGATTGCAGTGTGTGCCATATTATGTTTTCTTCACAAGATGAAAATCAATCTCCTACTGCTTTCATACACATTCCGGACTTTCAATAAGAGGACTATCCTCAGTTTCTCTTGCTCCAAGGCCACATACAGTGATCATTTCAAATAGAACATAAAATGTAATTCACAAACCCATTTCTGACATAAATAGGATGTTCAATGAGAAACTGTAGAATGAGACTGGATTTTATTACCGTAATTAGGAGTTGATATGGAAAAAAAAAATGAAAGGGGAAGTTGGCCTCTATATAGTGTACATTTTTTATTTCATTTTGACTTCACCTGCCACCAAAGATTGTCAGAAGCAAAGGGAAACTGAAAATGTAATTGCTTTCAAGCATGTTGCCATGGAGGAAAATTAATGCATGAACAACTTTGTCAATTCTAATGTTTCACAGTTTGCCAAGCACACATCCTTGCACCGTGATCCGGTCTTGTGGCATGTGTGTTGTGAGGCTGTGTAAACTGGGAATTTCCGAGATATTTAAATGCGCAAACACTGGAACCATCAGTCTGAGGTCATGCAACCGTATGAGAACATTACAGATTTAATCATTTCAATCATCATGATGTTATTCCATACAATTGCTGCAAAACAAACTATTTTCCCTGATATCTTTGGCCATTGGTAGCAATTTTTGTGAATGCACAGTTTAAATTATTTTAAATTATTAAAACCAGGCATATTATATAGACTTCATAGCACACTCAATTCCTTGTAAAGTTTGTTTTATTTATTTATACGAATTTGTCACTAAAGACGCATGCCAATGCTAGAGCTCAGGTTGTATTTAATCCAGAATATTCCTTTAAAGCGGTCATGCAGGTCTTGCTTTTTGTTTTCGAGTCATTAACATTCATGGTGCTCAATATTAGAAGCTGTCACACTTGTCAAACAGGGCTTCTGTTACAGCGTCATTTCCTTTGGAAAATCATTTTGAGTATTAAGTCAAAAGAAAAAACATCTGGAAACAATTGACAGGCCTAATATCTACATGACATGAGTGACATCCTATTACTCAGAAATATTAAACACCAAGATTTTCAAGAAATCTGCCAGGTTTAGCGAGAACTTTATAAATCTTTAGAGAATTTCTTAACACCAAATTAGATGAAGACTGAAATGAATATAGGACTACCTGGATATAATTGATAAATAGTTTGGATTAATCAGGATTTGAGAAGGCTCTTGTGCTCACCCAGGCTGCATTAGATAAAAAATACAGTAAAAAAAAGTAATATTGTGAAATATTTGTTTTAAAATGTAATTCGAGTTCTGATGCAAAGCTGAATTTTCAGCATTTTAATTTACTCCAGTCTTCAGGGTCACGATCCTTCAGAAATCATTCTAATATGCATTTTATTCATTTATTTTTTACATTTTATATTTCTTTGATAAATGGCATTTCTGTGAAGTGAAAATAGCATTATAAATGTCTTTGACACTTTTGATCAGTTTAATACATCCCTGCTAAATAAAAGTATCAATTTCTAATAAATTCTCAGAAATTCAGTTACTTGTTCACACAATAAAAACTCAACTCATTAGTTCACATATAATTACCAGGTCTTTATTGTCTGATTCATGTTTGAACGGTCACATATTTTTTTTCCCCTTATTCAATATTTTTTCATTTTTTTGCCTCCATCCAAATCAGACTAGAAAACCCTTGGAGGAGGATGATTCAGTTCAGCCAGTGGACTGGGCATCGGAGATCCGAGCTCCGGACAAGTGTGTACCGCAGGACCGCGGTCTTGAGCCGGAGCATCCTCTTCACGGAAGAGACTGAGCAGGACATTCCCAAAGGAAGGCACAATCTTTAACTTGTGTTTTTTTTTCAGGCCTTGAAGTAGTACAGAGTCTGCTGGATTAATACGTTTAGAGAACGCCAAGGAGATGACGTTCGTTTGGCATCCACTTGGTTAAATCGGAACGATGACTCGGATTTATCGGCCACTGCGCATGACGTTTAGCAACAAAGAATGAAGTCTTCCGTTAACAAAGCGCAAAAGACGCTTAACCACAAGAACTGAAAAAACAACAACAACAACAAACAGAACGATAATAATGCAAAACAAGATACAAAAATAACTAATATAAAAACGGGGACAAACCAAAGAGTTTCCATCGTATGAAAAAGGAACTGAATTTATACAAAAAGCAGCAATATTATCAACTAAAAAAAACCCCGAAACAATAGTGCTTAGTTGACCGGAAGCATTGGAAGCTCCCAAAGTGAAGACTTCATCCCTTGTTTGTCTGTTATTTTTTGGGATGATAAAAATGGAAGATTCCTATAACCACTTCCTTAAATTTGCCCTCCCATTAACCCCTGAACCTAAAGGGCATCGAACCCCGACACGTCCCATTCCTCCCAGAAGACAAGAAAAAAATAAAATAAAAAAAACTGCATGATACCATCAATGTTCAATACGATTCAGTCGAACTTGAAAACAGAGGGGGGAATTTAGGAATCGGCAGCTACCTAAACACTTACAACACCACAGGAAACAACTGAGGGACACGGTTTACGAAATAAAAGCAAATAACGAACACAAAAAAAAAACCAAATCATTGTAAACACAGCACAATAAATAGGTAGAACAGCAGGTTTCCTCACCATGCACATGACTATTCACACACTCCCTCCCCCTCATTCACTTTTTACTCTTTTTGATTCCCCAAGTGCAAAACATCAACTCAACAGTTCTCTATTCAATAACGTATATACAAGGGTGATGATGGTGGTGGGCTTTTACAAATATGTAGTTTCTGTACATCAAATATTAGCCATATTCATAATTTACACATCACTTTTCTTAAACAAAATATATTTTAAAAAAATGACAAAGGGGCAAAAATAAAGATAAACAAGAGATGAAATTTTCTGTCACGTTCAGACAGTCGCTGTGGAAACCCCCGAACCCAATTGGTGCACAGCACCAGAAGACTGGACTGGACGGAAAAAAAGAATGACACCCAGGCAGCGGTCACTACGTCACCTCCATGGCCACTGTGTTCTCTGCTATACTGTTGAGGGACTGCTTTTCCTGCTCGTGATTCTCCCTGTAAACAAACATGTAACGGATCAATAACCTGATAAACAATCCGATAAAAAGTGACTTGTGTACTTGCGCAACTCGTTTCCAACATTGCGCATTCACGTGCATGCAATGATGAGAGCAGTGAAGCAACCACAGACATTTTCTTGCATTATTTTTCATTAATAGCTATTCAAATTTAAAGACTTAAAGGCACAATTTTTTATTAAAATATCCAAAAACCACTAGAACAGTGTTATACATTTTGCTGACTTGTGTACTTACAGTGGGGAAAAAAAGTATTTAGTCAGCCACCAATTGTGTCACGCTCTTTCAGCGGCCTTGTTTCGCTTCGACGGCTTTCCGCCTCACCCTGCTTCATACTACGACGTTAATAAATCTTTAATACATTAGCTCATCCATGAACATGATTTCTGCCCGAGTCCCGTCGGATTGCTTCACACATTAATATAATTCGCGAGCGTGAATCTCTACACTCGCACGCGGATTTCCTTTGCTCTCGCACAAAACCGGACGCGCGCACTTAAAACGTGTCTCTCCTCTCACTCAAACTGTCCTGTGCACTCGCAAATCTCTCTGTGCTCATGCGCTAGATATTAATAATTTTCGCACCTGAATTAAACGTTGTCAAATGTTATCAACTTATCAGATTTCAAAGATGGATCTGTAATTTCTTTATCATTTAATACTACTACGTCATAATAATCAAATATTAGAAATGAATCGGGTGCTTGGATTATTTGTAAATGGGCCTAACCTAGTTTAACAGTTTGGTCAAACCCCTCCGAGCGATTTATCTAAACACAAACAAAAAAGTAGGCCTATATGATTCTTAAAGTTCATGTGGTCATATAGCCTATTGTGCACTTGGATTGAAATAAATAAATATCTCTTCTGATTAAGAACAGATTTAGATAAGGGTCAGATACACTATTCCCTATACTTAAGATGTGGAGACCCAATTTAACACTATAATGAATTTCCCATATTTGTCATAACATTACTACATTATATTCTATGGGTTTAATGCATTTGCAGACAATGTAATTACATGTAACTGTCATATAACTGTATATTCACGGTTTGAGTGCCATTGAATGTGTAGCTATAGGTTTTTCATGAACTGAAAACAAACACTGGATAAAAAAAAATAAAAAAAAAACTCCCAATAAATGTCCAAACAGTGATACTATCAGAACATTTATTGTGTTATATCTTGCATCATTTAAGTCTATTTTTGCATTTGATGTTGATTTGATAGAAATTGTTACTATTGCCATCATACCAACTGAGAATTTATTGCAATGATTTTAAATTTAGTTGCGGTATCTGACATATGACATAACATTGATCTTTTATATGAAGTCTTCAGAGCCATAGGCTATAATATGTTGTTTTTAGATAAATTGCTCAGAGACCAACCAGTTGGACAGAGGTTATTTATAGGCTATGTACAAATCATCCAAGCACCCAATTCCTAGCCATTTCTAATAAAGGCCACATTTCATTAACATTGCTAAATATTATTAAACTGGAAATAAATTCAAGATTCATCTTTGATTGTCAAAATAATTCCAGGTTCAGTTCCCGCTCAGCCAATTAGATTTCACATAGTATTTTCATCGGTCAGTTGTGGAGGTCTGATTGTTTAAAGCTCTATTTATATAGCGCCTTTTAAAAGTGTTTACAAAGTATTTTACAGAGAGATGCATGTGCGCATTCACAGAAAAGAAAAGACAAATACAAACATAAAAGATATAAAGTAGTGAAACAAAGTGCAATAACCAGTTTATGTTAAAACAAAAATACACAAATAAAAAACAAAGAAAGGCCTTTAGTGAAAAAAACAGTTTTCTATTGACTTTTAATTCAGGTGTGAAAAGAATATCTGCGCATGAGCAAAGAGAGATTTGTGAGTGCACAGGACAGTTTGAGTGAGAGGAGAGATGTTTTAAGTGCGCGCACACTCTCTGGGCGAGATCAGCGTGTACCCGAGCGCGCGCCTCCGGTTTTGTGCGAGAGCAAAAGAAATCCGCGTGTATTTCTTGCGTGCAAGCGGAGAGATTCGCGCTTGTGCAAAATATTAATATGCTTTCGCGCTACAATAAAGCACTCAACATTTGTCATTAAAATAACGCCATACAACTCCCATGATTCCACACTCAGTCACGGCGTCATCAAACTATGCCTATGCTTCTTTGTTTATTTTGAATACGCGCCCTCCAGCGGCGAAAATTACATATTGTGCCTTTAAATTTGAGACTGATGTGGAGTCTGAAGTCATTTTTCATGCTTGAAGTCTTTAAGACCTGGATAGTTATTGTTGTAACAAATATTTGCAAACTAAATATTTGCAAAACAAAAAAAACAACAAACAAACAAAAGGACAAACTATACTGCTACTAGTTGCCAAATATTAATTAATTTACTGTTACTAAATATGGTTACTTAATGTTACTGCTGCTAAATGTAGTTTAAAAACACTGCAAAAAATGCTGGATTGTTAGTTATAATACAATTATTTAGAAATGAAATATTTGCGAAAAAACAATTAAAAAAACAGTGCTCGATTGTCACTGCTTATTGTTTGCTAAATATAGTAAAACTTACAAAAACACTGGACTGTTAAAATTTTATTTAATGAAAATATTTACAAAAACAATGCTGGATTAAAACTGCTTACTAAATAGTTAAAATATGAAAATGTGATTGTCACTGTTAAATATAGTAAAATATTTGTAAACATGATGTATTGTTATAACCAATATTTGCAAACAAATATAATGATGCTGGACTGTTACTGTTATAAAAAAAAAAATATTTGCAAACTAAATATATGCAATAATTAAAAAAAAAACGACAGCTGATTGTCACTGTTGGCTAAATATTGAAAATATTTGCAAACAAAATTTTAAATACTAGATTTATATTTATTTTATTTATAAAAATATTTCCAAACAAACGCTGGATTATTAGTGTTATAAAAACAAATATTTGCAAACAAACAAACGAAAATTAAAATAATAGATGCTGGATGTAGAGCTGGGCAATTTTTCAGATTTTATCGATTACTTTGAATTTAATGTTTTGCCACGATTTAATTTTTTAGAAATCGAAGAATCGCGATTTTGAAAAGAAATATTACCAAACGTTAGAATTAGACACTCTGACAATATGCCGGTGATAACAGTAAAGAGAAAAGAACGATCCAAGCGCATGTCAGCGCACATGATTAACCGCTCGCGTGTGACACATTCATATCGCTAGGTGCCATTCACACAGAAGGCACTTTTTTTGCTGACAAAGATGCGAATAAGAAAAACATGCAACATGCGTTCTGAAAAACAAAAACACAAACAAACAAAAAACACAAAAACGAGATTTTATTTTTTTGCCAAATCACCCAGCCCTACTGGATTGTTACTAACTTTAAACAAAACATTCCCACCTCCCCCAAAAAAGAAAACGCATGAACGCATGCAATTCTTTACCCAGTGTTGACTTTGGGGAGCTGACAGTTGTTGGCGGTGGCGAGTTTCAAGGCAGCGGGTGGCACGTTGCTGAGACTTCTGGGAAGGTGACGGGCATTGAGACTAGCGATAGAGGGCGTGGTGACGCTGAGTCGTAGGTTGTTGCCGATCAGGACCTGAGAGGTGGAGTTGGCTGTGTTGTTAGCATGATTACCTATAGGGTTGTGGACAGTGTGGGCAAAGCTTGTGTTAGAGTTGCTAGTGGAGGACAGGAAGGTGGGTGGGGCAGCGGTCAATGTTGGTTGGCTAGTGAGGATCGAAGCAGAGGATGTGGCAGAGATGCTCAATCCCTTGTAAACTCCTGTAAAGCAAACAATAATTAGTTTGAAAACAATATAATTATAGGATGAGCAAATTCAAAAGATTTAGCTTGTCCAGAACACAAACCTGAAGCTTGGACGACTCCGTTGACTCCACCTCCTACGCCGTCTTCTTTGATCTTTAGGGTCAAAAGCTGGTCAGAGGTCATGAGTGCAGAGGCGGCAAACTGGGCACTGACTGAGTCCAGCGTCTTGGACACAAGAGACTGAGGACACAGCAGGAGAATGTTACACAAGCCATCAGACTTCCAGCCACGAGTGATACTTGTGTGTCTCCGTTACACACCTGACTTGAGCCTGTGTCAATGGCCTGTTGTTGTATCTGCTCCAGCTGCTGTTTCTGCATGAGGGCCAGCTGTTCTTGATGCTGCTGATACTGCTCAGCCGTGAATGCTGGAACACAAAACAGAAATATTATAGTCTTTTATAGTCTATTATATATCTGACATAGTCACACTCTCACAGCGTTTCTTGTTCAATGAAAGAGACTAGAAATCTTAAAGAACACAAAAATACATTTGCAACAGAGTTGGGTGTTAAATTGCAGTAAAGCAATAAAACATGGAAGAAATGTTGTGTGATTATTCCTTAAAAATTAAAGTTTTCATAATTTTAGTAGTAGTACTAATAGTGTTAGTAGTATTATGTACATTCTACTGAACAATAGCTCTGGCACAGTGTCTTCAAGTTAATCCGAACTTTTATTTTGACGTGAATACCTTTACATTTCTGTGATATGAGGCCATTTTTACTCAAATGAAATAGTAAAATGCTCATGAAGTAACTCTCAGAGGAGTTTTGGAGATGTTCATGTATTTATGTCCTCATTTAGTGAGACGACACGCGCTATTATCGCTCGCGCGCTTCAGTAGAAGTGTAGTAAACAAAACCGCACGTCTGCATCATTCATTAACACTGACACGCAGAACATGCAGGATTCATGTTTAAATAGTCTTTTTGTAGCTTAATATTTACAGATACTAGTCCATATTTAAGTGTAAATCACCTACTTTTGATTAATTCATTTAAAGTTTGACAAATTCTGTGACATTCCGCCTTACACAGTAAATTCTCGTTTTCATGACTGGATTCCGCGATTCCGTCTGTGTTTTCCGCATTGCGGAAATCATAGCGCCCTACCGGTGTGTGTGCGTACACATCGGGCCGGAACGCCACTGTGCGCAATACAGAGAGCAGAGGAAAATCGTAAACGCACGACGATGTAGAGACAAAAATGACATGCCGTCGTGTAAATAAGATAAATAACATAAGGCTATTTAGTTTGTTTAGTAAAAACAAGGTATAGACCTGTTCTACAGGAAAGGTAATCTTAAATGACTTCTGTTGTGATCTGGCGTGACACAGAAAATAAAATTAAATAAAATTAACTTGACCTTCAAGGGGGGGGCAGGGCGCCCCCTAATATAATGGCAGGGGAAACACTGCATCAGAAACACAGAAATGCCATTTCAAAGTTGGTGAAAGTCACTATTTTGCTGAAGTATTAAAAAAACATTTGTTTAGAATAACGTGCACTGATGAACTGCACACAGGGTCAAATTCAGCAAACGGTCCATTTTACTGTTCTTTCCATTTAAACTAGCTAAGAAGAAACCAATCAAATCAATATATTCTCTCAATGTAATGCGGATCATTTTAGTTACTGAAACGACAGCATTATAAAGGTTTCTCATCAAAAAGAGGACAACAAGTGAGCTGCAACCATGTAGATGAAATTAAAAACTGGAGCGAGAATAGACTGCATCATTTCCAAACGCTGTGCTCTGAATGAGTTTCATTTAATGCTGGACGCATTTAATGAGATTTTATGAAAAGCTGCAGCTGTGCATCTGATGAACATTTGCTTCTGGTTTATTGCTTTCCTTTGTCAACGATGAGCCAAATGTTGCAATCGATTTGTCCTCATTTAAATATTTTGTATATGAAATTATTCACTGGTCAAGACATTTATAGACTCTTATGTGGGGTTGGGAAACTGAGAATCAGTTGCATTTAATAAAACACTAAAATCAAGTGGTTAATGTTAATGTCTGGTCCTGCAAACGGCTCAGTAATGCTTTTACAGCCATGTGAACAAAACACTCTGAAAACATTGACCAAACATAAGCCAGAGGTGCCCAAATGTTTTACTATAAAGAAGAGTCAAAAATCAAACATATTTGCATATGTTGCATTATATCCAAATATTTGTGTTTTCAAAGCATAAAAAAAAGAAAAAAAAAGAAAAAAAGAAATTGCCTGCTTTAAGCTAAAGCAATATATGATAAAGGCTAACAATATAATTATAGCAATTTAAATATAAACCTTGAAAAACGAATTGTATTTTTTTTTTTTACATATAATTTTAATTTTTTTATTTCACACACACACACGTGTATATATATATATATATATATATATATATATATATGTGTGTGTGTGTGTGTGTGTGTGTGTGTGTGTGTAAAATAAAAAGCTATATAAACAATAATATAATAAAGTAATATAAAAATAAATACAAATATATATTAAATATAAATATTTGTAAAAAATTACAACACAATATAATAAAAACAATACAATAAATTAAACAAAATACCAAAAATTAAGAAAATGTACCCATTGGAAAAGCCACTACATAGATTGCTCTTACTATGCAAATCCAAACAGACATTTTTGGCCATGATGCTTCATCTCCATATTTCATCAATTTCGCACTCCAAGCGTGAGGAGTTAAAAGCAAGTTAAAAAGTTGAAATCAAACACATCTCAACCCTTGCACTGCTTCACTGTGTACAGCAGACACAATATTAAATCAGAGGAATTATACACAGCTTCCTTAAAATCTTCCCTAAATCATTTAAACAGCCTACCGAGTAGTTATCCCTAGAGAAAAGTGCACTAGCAATGAAGGGCCTAAAAATATCATTCCCAAGCATCGCTGCAGCAAACACTGAGCTTTTTCAATTATAATAGCCGTCAATCATTCTGTGTTTATTTCCAGACTTCATTGACGATGCTGAATTAAACATGAGCAAACAAACAGTTCCAGCACTTCGCATGCACACTACTGTGCGAGTTCACTCACCTACTGCGGGTGGTCCCGTGCCTGCTGTTCTGCCCAGTGTACTGCCACCCGGCCCCGCGCCGCCCCTCACCAACCCCCTAAATGGTCTCCGTAACAGCGCATCCCCTGCGCCTGATAGGCTACTTAGTGTCCGTGGTTTAAAGTGCCTCCAGCGGCACGCTTTGATATTTCGGCGGATCTGCCTCAGGTCTGAATACGTGGTATGAGAGGAAGAAGAGGATGAGGTAACGGTCTGGGAAGTGGTTTCCGGGTGGAGAGGGGAAGCAGGGAAGGAGAATTCCGGCTCTGAATCAGAGTCCAGACTTTGGAATAATCCATTTAAATCTGAATAGGCTCGGTCCAGAAGAAACCTGAGGAACAGATTAAATATGATTAAGTAAACGCAAAGTACAATTCAAGAAGTCAGTCAGAACGAGACCGACTTGACTCACCTGCCACCCCGTCCCACCCGACGCCGTGCCAACCCGACACAGCAGCGGGGAATGGTGAGAGTGGTGAGGGAGTACCGAAACTGCGGGTCACATGACCCTCCTTCTGTTTCTCCAGACCAGGGCCAGTCGCCGCTCTGATCCAAACGGGGCTGCAGGAACAACACAAACCAAATGAGAATGTGACAGAAAATTGTAAATGAAACAAAGTACAGAGAAAAGAGTAAATGAAGCCGGAAATGAAATACAGGGAATAACGGCCTGTGACTTGGTTAAAATATTGAATACTTATTTGTCAATCATACAAATAATTCACATAGACATCTTAAAGGTACAGCTGCAAAACTGGCCTCTCAAGAGATTTGAAACAGCGCTGTAGTGTCTTCATGGCTGTAATGTACATCAGGATATGCTGAGGTGCAGAACAATAGTGGAGAGGAAAGAGGAACGATGAAAGGACGTGTAACACAGGAAGTGCAAGGTATGAGATATGAGGTCAGCGATCGACACCTACAGCGTGATAAACACATCCTGCTTTCCGCCTGAAGGCAAACGCTCCATCGGGCTCGTTCTCTTCCTCGGCCTCTGATGACCCAGAATGTATCTGCACAACAGGAACAGCAAGTCTTTTATGCACTTATTTCATGAACAAAGAAGTCTAAAGTTCTCAAATGAACATTACAAAATCTAATTAATTGAAATGTGAAGCGTGCAGTTTGTGCGCACTACTATTCAAATGTTCGTGGTCAGTAAGAGTATTTTCCTCAATTATTGCTTTCATTCAGTGAAGATGCATTAAACTGATCAAAAGTGACAGTGAATACATTTACGATGTTACAAAAGATCTCAATTTCAAAGATTTCAAATAAAAAATGTCAGTTCTCAAATGAACATTACAAAATCTAATTAATTGAAATGTGAAGCGTGCAGTTTCTGTGCACTACTATTCAAATGTTCGTGGTCAGTAAGAGTATTTTCCTCAATTATTGCTTTCATTCAGTGAAGATGCATTAAACTGATCAAAAGTGACAGTGAATACATTTACGATGTTACAAAAGATCTCAATTTCAAAGATTTCAAATAAAAAATGTTTCTTGAGCAGGATCATGTGACACTGAAGACTGAAGTAATGATGCTTATGAATGAAGCTTTGCTTCACAGGAATAGAAAAAATATATGAAAGAATATTTAAAGTAACTATTTTCTATTTTTATAATGCATAAACATTTCGCAATATTATGGCTTTTACTGTATTTTGATCAAGTAAATACAGCATTGGCAAGCATAAGAGAGTGATATTGTAGCTATTGGATTCTCAAACTTCTGAATGATATTGTAGCTCTGCCCCCAATTTAAGCCACGGATTTAAAAAAGTAATTAAAAATGTTGCCTTTAAACAGTGATTATATCCAGTCAAACAAATGCCCTGCATCTGTACCTGTGAAAAGGGCTCGTCATCAGAGCTGGGGAAGTCGTACTGGTTGAGGTCTTTGGGGTTAAACAGGGAGGGGCCAGTATGCAATGGGGCGGAGAGTGGTGTGATTTTGGGCTTCTTCTCGTACTTCCTCTTTGTTCTGACCACCTCTGTCTTTTCAGGCTGAAAGAGAGAGATTCATGTCCATACAAGTACTGTATAAGTCATGTTTATCACCTGAAATGTGCTGCGACTTCTTTTCAAAGCATTATACATTTACATTTGTGACCCTGGACCACACAACCAATCATAAGGGTACATTTTTCAAAATTGAGATTTATTCATCATCTGAAAGCTGATAAATAAGTTAGGATAGGACAATATTTTGCAGAGAACTATTTGAAAATCTGGAATCTGAGGGTGCAAAAAATCTAAATGTTGAGAAAATCATCTTTAAAGTTGTCCAAATGAAATTCTTAGCAATGCATATTACTAATCAAAAATTAAGTTAATATATTTACAGTAGGAAATTTACAAAATATCTTTATGGAACATGATCTTTACTTAATATCCTAATGATTTTTGGCATAAAAGAAAAATCAATAATTTTGACCCATGCAATGTATTTTTGGCTATTGCTACAAATATACCCCAGCGACTTAAGACTGCTTTTGTGCTCCAGGGTCACATTTAGTCATTATATGATGTAATTAATGACAAGCAAGCAAAACGTGTGCCTAGCGCATACATTTGGATTTATGTTTAACCATCAGGTAGTTTCAATTCTGCTTTAAATCTAGTTAGGCATGGCGTTTATAATAAATTATGTTTACAATGAAGGCAACCATAATTTGTTTCTTTTATACCTGTAGTTCTGAATTTAATAAAATATGGCTCATACATTGATGCGACTTGTTTTTTTTTCCTCAATGCAATTTTGATGACAGTGCGATTTATTTTTCCAGAAAATATGGAACATTCACAACCCATTTTACTGCCACAATGAGAGGCATTGATGATGTCCGGTAAAAAATTTATGTTACTGTATTTTGTTAAAAAGAATAACATGCACAAATGAATTGTTCCCAATAAGATCAGGAACATACAGTAGTAGGGTAAACTGTGATTTCATTGATATGATGTACCCACCCTGGCCTTGTAGTCTTTGAAGTCTATGTGGTCCTGGTGGCGGTACTGACTGCTGCTGGAGAAGGGTATTATGGGAATTTTGTAAACAGGTTTTGCCATAGCAAGTGCTTCTGCCATCACCTCTGAGCCAAAGTCCGGCATGGCGTTCCTGAAGCAAAAGAGTGGACATTTTTAGAGGAAGCAACTTGTCTTTACAAATAGTTTATAATTTATTATTATTTTTTTTTTTAAATCTCATTGAAATATTTATGTATACACACAAATTACCCAACATATCATAGTGATTAAAGATGATAAATGAATAATGGAGCTTGATCATGTGGCCTTTATGAACAAACAAGGTGAACCATAATTGCTCATTCAGCCATATAAAACATGCCCCTTAATTAGGGTATGCAATGATGCCTAAGCCAATTAAAAATACATGACCCATTCTCAATATGCATGAGCTGATAAATAAGTTAGGATAGGACAATATTTTGCAGAGAACTATTTGAAAATCTGGAATCTGAGGGTGCAAAAAATCTAAATGTTGAGAAAATCATCTTTAAAGTTGTCCAAATGAAATTCTTAGCAATGCATATTACTAATCAAAAATTAAGTTAATATATTTACAGTAGGAAATTTACAAAATATCTTTATGGAACATGATCTTTACTTAATATCCTAATGATTTTTGGCATAAAAGAAAAATCAATAATTTTGACCCATGCAATGTATTTTTGGCTATTGCTACAAATATACCCCAGCGACTTAAGACTGCTTTTGTGCTCCAGGGTCACATTTAGTCATTATATGATGTAATTAATGACAAGCAAGCAAAACGTGTGCCTAGCGCATACATTTGGATTTATGTTTAACCATCAGGTAGTTTCAATTCTGCTTTAAATCTAGTTAGGCATGGCGTTTATAATAAATTATGTTTACAATGAAGGCAACCATAATTTGTTTCTTTTATACCTGTAGTTCTGAATTTAATAAAATATGGCTCATACATTGATGCGACTTGTTTTTTTTTCCTCAATGCAATTTTGATGACAGTGCGATTTATTTTTCCAGAAAATATGGAACATTCACAACCCATTTTACTGCCACAATGAGAGGCATTGATGATGTCCGGTAAAAAATTTATGTTACTGTATTTTGTTAAAAAGAATAACATGCACAAATGAATTGTTCCCAATAAGATCAGGAACATACAGTAGTAGGGTAAACTGTGATTTCATTGATATGATGTACCCACCCTGGCCTTGTAGTCTTTGAAGTCTATGTGGTCCTGGTGGCGGTACTGACTGCTGCTGGAGAAGGGTATTATGGGAATTTTGTAAACAGGTTTTGCCATAGCAAGTGCTTCTGCCATCACCTCTGAGCCAAAGTCCGGCATGGCGTTCCTGAAGCAAAAGAGTGGATATTTTTAGAGGAAGCAACTTGTCTTTACAAATAGTTTATAATTTATTATTATTTTTTTTTTTAAATCTCATTGAAATATAATTACCCAACATATCATAGTGATTAAAGATGATAAATGAATAATGGAGCTTGATCATGTGGCCTTTATGAACAAACAAGGTGAACCATAATTGCTCATTCAGCCATATAAAACATGCCCCTTAATTAGGGTATGCAATGATGCCTAAGCCAATTAAAAATACATGACCCATTCTCAATATGCATGAACACGCACACAGTATAACACAATTATAGAAGCAATTAAGAAAATTCTGGAGTCAAGCAGGTTATGCATATTAAAATGCAAAGTAAAGTTAAGCTGGATCGTGTATATTCATTATAACACAAACACGCAGATACACCATTGATAAAAACACTTCTGAAAGTGAGTCTACGTACCTCTTCTCCACAACCTCCAGTGTGAGATGAAGCAGCTCTCGTTTGCTTTTTTCTCGTTTCTTGATCATCTCCAGGATAGTGACGGCCCGACTCAGGTCCCTTCTTAGTTTGAGCATCTTCTCATAGGACGCCTCGTCATTCTTACGGTTCTTGTGAACCAAGAACGATACCATTAGTGAACTTCATTATTACTTAACCAACATTTAGTGGTCAGTATTAAAAGCCTAAAAGTGAACAAAGGCCTCCTGTAGCAAATCGATGCGTTTTTGTAAGAAAAATATCCATATTGAAAACATAATAATCCCTTTAATCTAGCTTGTGCCAGCAGTTGTACACAGAAGCAGCTCTGGGCGGATGACTTATGAGGTCAGCATTGCGCATGTGCCAGTGAGTCTCGTGAAAACCAACGTTTGTTTACAGGATCAAAGGAAGTAAAGTTTCCTTACTTTAGCAAAGGAAAACCAGTCTCCTCTTGGCTTATATCGAAATCCTCTGACATTCTTCTTTACAAATCCTCGTTTTGTACTTCTAATTCTTGACCGTTGTTTTGTACTCTCCTCTGCGTTTCCGCGTGCGTCACTTCTGAGCGGCGCATGCGCAAAGCTGACCTCATACATCATTCCCCCGGAACTGCTTCCATTTACAACAGTGAGCGCAAGCTAGATTCAAGTGATTATTACGTTTTGAATATAGATATTTTTCTTACAAAAATGCATCGATTCGCTACAGGAGGCCTTTGTTCACCCCCCCCGGAGCCATGTGAGAGACTTTCTTTTTAATGGATGGGCGCTTTTTATTTAACTTCTTTTGGACTAAACACAGCCTAATTTAAATTTTTGGGTGAACTAACCCTTTAATGACACAATACAAGAACAAAGGGAGACCAAAAGTCTTTGGTTTTTATTTAGAACACTAACTTGATTTATGTCAAACTGCAGTTGTAACAAAAAAAAAAAATGTTGCTGTGTTCGAACCATTTCATGTTTTTTTAACATTAATTTCAATTAGGGATGCACCGATATGAAAATTTTGGCCGATACCGATAACCGATTATTCTTTATTTTTGAAAGCCGATAACCGATATGTTGGCCGATAAATCTATATCCAAATTGTTATATACTTTTTGAGAGCCTGATTACAAAAAAGGTCTCATCATTAAAAGCCACATCCCAAACACTTCAACATAAGCAGCCTAGTTTGAACGGTGTACGTTTTAAAAATATTTTTACTCTCCCATTACCAAATTTAGTCATAAAAAAGTCTTACAAATAAATAAAATAATGCATAAATAATGCAAACAAGTCACTGGACATCATTACACGTGTAAAGAATCAAAATGAATGCGCCATAGATCAATAAAACGGAATAGCCTCTGCACGGACAATAATTAAATGATTTTAATTACTAAACCATACTGTTGATGAAAATAATAAGAGAACAATACAAGTGGTTGTTGTTATTAATAATATATCAATGATTTTGAAAAAGTAACAAATTAATACCACTAACATTAATTTCAATACCACATCAAAATACGTTAATGTGCACAAAATCAACATATGCATCATATAAATTTCATATTTCTCAATCAAGAAAAACCTGCTTCATATTTTAAAGCAATTCATCTGGTAAACAGAAATGGGATGCGATATAGACTCAAACCTATATGCCTTTGCAAATACCATGGACCTTTGTTTTCATGATTATGCAAATGCTACTCTGGCACCCTTTTTAAAAAAAAGAAAAAAAGAAAAAGCATAAACTGAACAATGTTTTTTGTAATTTAATGAAACTCCCTCCCCCTTTATCTTTCATGCTTGACAACATTTTAAAATAAGCAGAGGAAAGATTCCTAATTATCCACCATAAGACTGTATTTAATAATCACTATTAGACCCTGATGTAATGAACTATGAAAACTTTTTTTTTTTTTCAGTTCAGCAATGCTCAAAACTTAAAGTCATCTATTAATGCTACAGAAGGACAATCATCAACTAAACAGCTGATTAAGGCAAACTCCTGCAAGTCATAATGAGACAAACTTCAAAAAGTTAAAGAGCTGAACCTGGCAGAACTTTAGCTTGATAAAACAAGTGGGTTTGTAAATGTATTGTTTTCCATTGTCATTTAACTAGTTATTTCTAAGCTTGCAGTAAAACAATCAAACCAATATTAATAGGTTGCCTGGAATTGCATGAACTATGAAAACATACTCGGGCATTTACAACCCAGCTTACCCCAAAGGGGTCAAAATATTGCTCGTTAGCATGGTCTAGTTAATAGATGCCATAATTACAAAATTGTGTGGACTTCGGGGGGGAAGGAAGGGTTCAAAAGTGTTGAATATAGACACTTTTAAGGCTGACAGATCGACCAAAGTGGCCACTGTATTGAGTTGCTTTCATCTATCCAGGCTGTTAGAGGATCAGCATTAACCTGTTAACCTGCACCCCCCATTTTGGGACTCACAGCTGAAAATTATTTACCTAACTTAAAATGGTAACAGTTCCTGACAACAAGTGTGCTACACACACAATTTTGGTGTCTTTGAAAAGAAGACCCTTTGGGCTTTACTATCCATCATCCAGAGTTGATGATGCTCAAAAAGATAAAAAGTTATAGACACTGAAGTGCCTCATATACAAATACATGAAATCAGTCCTGGACAAATCCAGAAAAGTAATGGGTTGAAAGTCACATGTCTCATGAGTTTATATTTAAAATTTGAAGATACCACCACGAAAAGTGAAATTCCTGCAGCCATTTTTCTGAGACTATGTCTAGACTTACTGGTTTTCTCCCCTCTTCCCACCCTCTACACTCCCACTTTTCCACAGTTTTACCAGTTATTTTTCAGATCTAAGGTGTGAAAGACCAGTGCTGAAACAGGGGGTTTCATGACACTTTAAAGGATTAGGAAAACAACATCGATACGGCCATGGCTCTGACCAGAACTGCTCACCTTTCTCGTCTGCATCTTCTCAGTCCTTCGCCTAAAGGCCACATAGGGGTCATTGGTACTGGAACCATCCCGCTTTTCCTGCTTGATGGTTGGGATGAGGGATCCATTTTTACACAGTTTCCGCTTCCTGCTCCAGTATTCAAACACCTCCCTGATCAGATCATCGTCCTCCTTCAGTAAAAGCTTCGCTTCCTGTAGGGTCACCAGCTGTGGTACAGAAAGAAATGGTAAACAAACAAAGCAATTATTATTAGTAGTAGTAATAATGTTAGCAACAATAAAATATATACATTTTACGTATAATATATATATATATATATATATATATAATTATTAAATATTGAAAACTGTTTATGCTGCTTCATATTTTTGTGCAAACCATGATGCATTTCTTTCTTTTAAAGAATTGGATTAATACAGAGCATGAAGAACAGCATTTATTTGAAATAGAAACCTTTTCTAACATTATAAATATCTCTACTGTCAAGGTAAAGATACACTATCAAGGTACTATCAACGGTCCATCAGCATTGGCTCACAGCCGTTCATCTTTCAACTGCTCTAGATATCTGCATCAGTCAATCACCAATTTAAACTTTATAACTCCTGGTTTGTGGGATTTAAGGATTCCACACAGCGACATCCTGAATTCATAGAGAAAGGTTTAGCAGAATCACTTCAGCTTTCAATTTAAAGTTTCGAGCATCACTGAATGAAATCCCAGAGGTTTTTTTATTCTGCAGTTCCCATTTTAAGCAGTGAATCTTTTTAATAACCTGCTGTCCGCTTCCTTTCTCCAATCTGTCAATCATCTCCTCGAACTGCAGGGCCTCCACCTCCAGCTTCTTTTTCATCTTATTCACAAAAGCCTCATCCTCCGAGTCCAGATCGTAGTCCGGCTGCTCTGTATCCAGACTGAAAGCTGTGGAAAGAAGCAGTGGAGGTTAAACACACTTGAAGAACGCTTAGGACTCCTTTCAGATATTAGTTTTTCATTTAGAAGTTTGCAGCAAGTCCCAGGTCTGAATATGGCCACTTTTCTCTTCTGAGTTACGATGAATAGGTTTCAGTCAGGTCAAAATCCCAGTATTTCCCACAATTTTTACTGTAATTGAAGTCACTGATGTGACAAAGCCAAATAAGAGCATTTTATGTTTAATATTTAAAAGAGCAAGTTTTTGAGACAAAAACATGGATTTTGACTCGCATTCAGCACCTACACATATTACAACACTAAGAATTTCTAGTGTTTCCCATACATTGATTTATTTGTGGTGGCCCGCCACAATATCCACAATGACTGCCACAAATATCCACTTCCTGTTGTCATCAGCTCCCACGCCTTTCAGACCCTTTTAGCATCTTTTTTCCATAAAAGGAAGATACTGACAAACCTAGTGACTTTTCTGGATAAACCTTAGCTTTCATTCAGTTGGAAGACTTCACCAGTACTTCCCCGGTGCAGTATCGTCTCTCTCGGCGTCTATTCTGTGCAGTGAGTGGCAGAGAAGCAGCGCATTCAATTGGCCGTACCACAGCAGACTCATCAGTAAATGAGTACAAAACAGCATTTCCAAGCACCTGTCGCTTAGTGTTTAAACTTCTAAACACGAATATACATAGTTCGTCTGTTAATATGCACATAGTTTGTTACTCAGGCACAGGCAGTGCACTGCATGAGAAAAAAAAAATATATATAGCCAAAGCCACCGCATACAGCCACTCTTATATAGTGAGTATAGTGAGAGTGACTCCTGGTTAACATGTAGTATTAATGGATCGTGTTTAGTGACTATTAGGGCTGTGCGATGAATCGAAATCGAATCGCGATTTGAGACGTTGCGATTTGCAAAGCCTGCGATGTGGACGCAATATTACTCTGTTCCAGAGCATATACATGACTGCCAGCCTTACTAATCAATAGACTGAGCGCACCTCCGTTCTCCCCAATCAGCACTGCTCTAGCCAACTGCGTAATCGCCCACCATTAAAAAAAAACACAAAACGGGAGAGAGACACTGAGACAGAGTGGGATTATGGCAGCTACAGGGTCAGATTGATAGTTAGGCACATTAAAACAAAAGAAAAACATATGTAACTTAAGCTTCGAAATGACAGACGAGCAAAAAAAAAAAAGGTAATTTGCAATAAGCTGCGTCACAACGCATATCAAGAGCTCCCTTATCGGTTCTGCTTTCAGTACTGGAGAATAAAAGATACATTCTTAGATGTTTTTGTTAGTACATGTAGAGGCGTCATGCCCATTCAAAGTGAGGGGGCACGTGCCAGAGACAGACGCGTTTGTACAGCGCTGCATTATAACCAATCACACACGATGCTGTTGAGCTTATGAATGCAATGGCCAATCAGAGACGTTCAGATGAGTCATTGCTGAAATACGGTGTTTTGTTCACTTGCTCGCTGACTGAATTATCTGGCGAATTCTCTCATCAGAAACAACAGTGCAGATGTGCGTACGAATGCGAGATATTCATTTCACAGTGTAAACAGCTTCAGTGATTATAACGGGAGTTTTTGAGAGTGCATGAACTCTGGCTAGACTGAATAAAAATGTTATTTGATAATGTAAATGTTCTTTACTCTCTGTAAAATGAAAGTGTTATAATTAGTAACTTACAATATTGTTATTAAATTCACATTAAATGCAAAGTCAGTTGTATTAAAAATATTTTATGGCATGACACCCATATCTGCTACTTAAGTAAAAAGTAGGAGACGTTCAGATGAGTCATTGCTGAAATACGGTGTTTTGTTCACTTGCTCGCTGACTGAATTATCTGGCGAATTCTCTCATCAGAAACAACAAAGTGCAGATGTGCGTACGAATGCGAGATAGATATTCATTTCACAGTGTAAACGGCTTAAGTGATTATAACGGGAGTTTTTGAGAGTGCATGAACTCTGGCTAGACTGAATAAAAATGTTATTTGATAATGTAAATGTTCTTTACTCTCTGTAAAATGAAAGTGTTATAATTAGTAACTTACAATATTGTTATTAAATTCACATTAAATGCAAAGTCAGTTGTATTAAAAATATTTTATGGCATGACACCCATATCTGCTACTTAAGTAAAAAGTAGGGGTTTTATGTGGTTAATAGATTACACTAGTCGTCTACTTTACCCATCACCATTTATTGATCAAATAACAATCTATAAAAGGTGCAAAACGCATTTATTAGGCTACACATATTTGAGAATTAAGATATTTCCTGTAGTTAAGACGTTTGGAAATATTTCGAAAAAAGGAAAAAAATAAATAAAACAAGCCTATATCAGTTATACAGTGCTATCATGGCTGCTGTGTGTCACATGAGTTATGGCATGACACCCATATCTGCTACTTAAGTAAAAAGTAGGGGTTTTATGTGTAGTTAATAGATTACACTAGTCGTCTACTTTGCCCATCACCATTTATTGATCAAATAACAATCTATAAAAGGTGCAAAACGCATTTATTAGGCTACACATATTTGAGAATTAAGATATTTCCTGTAGTTAACACGTTTGGAAATATTTCGAAAAAAGGAAAAAAATAAATAAAACAAGCCTATATCAGTTATACAGTGCTATCATGGCTGCTGTGTCACATGACAAGCATGCTGCCAGTGACACTAAAATACAAAATTATTTGTCAGATAAATGAAACATGATGAAACATTCATTTCAGTTTAAATTGTTAGCTTACTTCTAGAGATTGCATTAATGACATAATACTGAAAGTAGGTTAAAATTAATTTTAAAAGTGTGTCCCCTAAAATTTTTGTTTGTGCTGCTTTGGTTTTTTAGATATTAAAATATTTATAGGTCAGTCTGTGTGTCACATGACAAGCATGATTTCAGGGTTATAATGGGAATTATATTGGTTTTAATGCAAACTATAATGGTGTCTATTTGATGGATTCTATTGGTAGGATGTAATATGGCAGAAGGCAACCAATAGAACAAGAGTAATTCCTATTGGAATAATGCTCAAAACAAAAAGGAATTTTGTAATGGTTTAATTGAAGAATTTCTGTGATGGTTTCTATTGTTTTTTTCAGCAGGGTAATGATCCTCATTCTGCGCTGCACATTATTGACAATATTGAGCTGAAGCTTGACGTTGCGATTTGATCTACGATTTAAAATTTGCAATCGCAATGTCAAAAAAATAAAATCAGCAATTAGATATTTTCCCCAAATCGCACAGCCCTAGTCACTATTTATACTTGTTTCATGACAACAGAAAATATAAATGGAAACAGCTTATTGGGCATTCAGTTGTATTACAGTATGTGACAGTTCAGAGAGTAGCAAACTATAATGGTGTCTATTTGATGGATTCTATTGGTAGGATGTAATATGGCAGAAGGCAACCAATAGAACAAGAGTAATTCCTATTGGAATAATGCTCAAAACAAAAAGGAATTTTGTAATGGTTTAATTGAAGAATTTCTGTGATGGTTTCTATTGTTTTTTTCAGCAGGGTAATGATCCTCATACTGTGCTGCCATTATTGACAATATTGAGCTAAAGCTTGACGTTGCGATTTGATCTACGATTTAAAATTTGCAATCGCAATGTCAAAAAAATAAAATTAGCAATTAGATATTTTCCCCAAATCGCACAGCCCTTGTCACTATTTATACTTGTTTCATGACAACAGAAAATATAAATGGAAACAGCTTATTGGGCATTCAGTTGTATTACAGTATGTGACAGTTCAGAGAGTAGAACAGATCTGAAGCATAGACTGTAAAGAAGATGGACAATGTGTCTCCATTTCCTTCCAGTATAGAAAAGTGAAGCCAAAACATTCTCAGTATGGCCGCTGTCATCTTGCAAAAATGACGTCATTTGGAGCCCGAGTCTGCGCAGTAGAGATTCGTTTGGAGCCAGAGTCTGCGCAGTAGAGATTAGTTTGGAGCCAGAGTCTGCGCAGTAGAGATTAGTTTGGAGACAACGTGTCTCCATTTCCTTCCAGTATAGAAAAGTGAAGCCAAAACATTCTCAGTATGGCCACTGTCATCTTGCAAAAATGATGTCATTTGGAGCCAGAGTCTGCACAGTAGAGATTCGTTTGGAGCCAGAGTCTGCGCAGTAGTGATCGTGAGGTGGAGCCGCGGAATCAAAGTCCCCCCCAAACTCCCGCAGACCCATGACAACACACCCCGTTTTAAAGCATCAAATAACTAATTAAAAGCAAATTTTTTAGAAAAATGAACACTTTAGTGGTCGACCGATATTGTTTTTTTGACAGCTGATGCCAATGCCGATATCTTGGCAAGCAGGGGGGCGATAGCCGATATAATTTGTTTTTAATTTTAATTAATATTTAAGAAATTTGAAATCATTTGACAATGGATTAAAAAATATGAGATGACAAAGTATTATTCACAAATAAGTAAATATTTAATAAAAAATAATTAAAAAAGGAAGTAAACACTAACCAACAGGGCACTCCGTATTCTGGGAAGTTTGTGTGCATTGGGAAGAGAACGCGATCATGCTGGATAAAAATGCACACTTCACAAGATCTCACAGCTGGATTCGACTAAGTTTGCAAGGTTTGTGAAATTAAATGTTCATTAGTCATTCAAAGATTTGTTTAAATGATATAAATGTGTATTTGCTTAATGTTGACGGCAAACGAGAAAGTATTATATGTTTGCCTTTCTATTACTAATAATATAAAAGCAATTGTTATAGTACGCCGTCAAAATAAAAGTCCTGCCTCGACTGCATTGGCCAAACAGAAAAACTTATCGGCCGATGCCAATATTTGAAAAATGCCATAGAGATTTGTTTGGAGCCCGAGTCTGCGCAGTAGAGATTCCCCCCCAAACTCCCGCAGACCCATGACAACACACCCCGTTTTAAAGCATCAAATAACTAATTAAAAGCAAATTTTTTAGAAAA